GGGAGGGGGGACAGCTAAGCTTTTCTTTTTTTTAGGCGCTGACAGTTATTTTTAGAGTTTTGTTTTCCCTCTTCCCTCCCGGGTGGAGTGAATGGAAGAGGAAATGGGTGAAGGTGCTGCTGGTCCATTGGAGCAGGGGCAATTTGAGTCCAAGAAGGGGGGTGGGGCAGGAGGGAGGGAGCTCCAGGGCTCGCGGAGGCATGCCCTTCCAGCTTCCCTGTGCCCTCGAATTCTGCTTTTCGGCGGAAGAAAGGGAGCAGAGAGGATGATGCTGCATTTTTAACATACCACAAAGTATGCAAGAGATTTCCTTGCAACATCTTCCTCGCTGTCAGTCCAAAGACTAGTTTGCTGCAGCCCAGGGTGCCAGAGACCCCATCAATCTGTGGTGCGTTGGTGCTCTCTCGGGATCCTTTCCTTGCTTGAGTGATTGGAAAGCAGGCATTTGCCAATAGCAGTGGCTGTGGCTTGAGAGGTGTGTCTGAGTGTGTCTGTTGAAAGTAAAGATGCACAGGCAATATGTGGTTTCTCATAAAATATTACATCTACTTTCTGCACTCTGGAGGTTTAAGGACAGAAAGTTCTTAAAGCTGGTTTCAGGCCCCTTTTATCTTTTTCCCCATTCACCTTTCATCCCGGAGGACTGTTTCCAGCTATCTGGTATAGTTATCTGAGATGAACCAGACTAGAAGCGATCTAATTGTTCTCTGAGTAGAATTTCAGAAACAAATACTTCTGAGCATCCATCAGGTAGTTTTTCCTGAAAGAAGGAGGGATAGGTGGGTAGGGGAAAACACACTGGAGTCATTTGACTTGAAAAATTTCTGAGTCGCCTTTACCACATAGGAAAAAAAAAAAAAAAAAGAAAACTACCACCAGGCACTAGACACTCCAAAGCGTGGGAGTGAGGAACTTTCAGCACCTAGATCAGATCAACTGCATCACCTTTAATAAGTGTGTGTGTATTTTATGTTTGACCTACTAGTACTCTTCACAAGTTCATGTTCTGGGAAGACTATGAAAAAAAATCTTGAGGACAAACTCAAAAGTCTAATTGTGAACTGGAGACTTGCTTTCCAAAGTTTCTGTTCTTTTTAGAATGACTTCATAGAGAAGATAGACTTTCAAGAGATGATTCGTGCATACCTTCTTAATAACAGTGAAATGACCCGATCTTCATTAGATGCTTAAAAATGTACCCAGCTATACATAAAAACAAGCCAAAGGATGCAGTCTCTTAATACATGCCCTTTGTTTTTTCTTGTGGAATTGATTCTTCAGTTAAGAGACCAATAAGATAGTAGAGAGCTCAGAAACAGGGAAAATGCTTAAGGGCAAGAGTCTAAAGGATGGTATTGTATATAAGATTAAAGAAAAATTCCAATCTTTTAATACTGAAAGTGACCTTGGTGACCATTCAGTTTGAATTTTCACCCAGGTAGAAATACCTTCTGTAATATCCCTGAGAGTACTCAACCCGGCCCATGCTGCAGCATTCTCCGTGTGTAAGAATGCACTTATTTTTCTAAGAAGCCAGTTTTCTTGTTAGCCCACCTTTGCTTGTGGACTGAACTCAATATCCTTTCAACATTCATAGACTGGTCCTCACTCTGCTTCAGCAGCAACAGAATCCCCTTTGCACCCAGCTGTCACATTGTCATCACTTTATCTAATGTATTCCATTAGAGCCAAGCCTGTTGCCATTGAGTCCATTCTGACTCACAGCAACCCTATAGGACAGAGCAGAACTGCCCCATAGGGTTTCCAGTGAGCGGCTGGTGGATTCGAACTGCCGACCTTTTGGTTAGCAGCCTGAGCTCTTAACCATTGCGCCACCAGGGATCCATTAAGGCCAAGTGATAAGTGATGGGAAATTATTTTTTTACAGTATATAAAAATCAAACCCATTGCCATCGTTGATTCCAGCTCATAGCAACCCTATAGGAAAAAGTAGAATTGCCCCACAGGGTTTATGAGGCTGTATTTACGGAAGCAGACTGCCACATCGTTCTCCCACAGAGTGGCTGGTAGGTTTGAACTGCTGATCTTTCAGTTAGTAGCGAAGCGATTAGCCACTGTGCCACCAGGGCTCCTTACACCAAAGTGGAAATACATGTATCATCCATTTTCTACACCCTCTTTATTATATTATGTATTATTGATCATATCCTCTACAGAAAATTTCCTATGAAATAGTCTTTTTGCAAATTATAGAATAATAGAATTTTAGAAATGGAGATTGTTGAGCAAATTATGTAGTCAATTTTATAGATAAAATGGAACTGTAGAGATTAAGTGACTTCAAGGCCACACTCAGAGTATTTTTGAAGCTGGTCCCAGTGTCTCAGCTCTTTGGTTTTTGGCCCATTGAGTTTTCACTGGCAGCGTGGATCAGGCCCACCTTCTATTCTCACAAATAAAAATATATATCAGAATTCCTTACTCTCTTCTCACTCTCCCCATTCCCCATACATCCTTCCTCAGTAAGTTCAATGGAATTAGGGAAGAATAAAAATGCCAATAGATAACTGACTAAATAATGTATGGTGGATCTCTAAGAGGAACCCTGGTGGCACAGTGGTTAAGAGCTTGGCTGCTAACCAAAAGATCGGCAGTTGGAATCCACCAGCTGCTCCTTAGGAGATCGATGGCGATGGGTTTTGGGCGTTTGGTTATATCTCCAAGATGAACTACTCTGATGTAAATACAAACCATGTTATAGAATTATAATGGCATGGAAATACATTCACTAAATGTTAAGTGAAAAATTATTGACAGTATAAAACTACTTTTAAAAGTAAAAATCTACACATAGGAAAAGGTGAAGTCTGCATTAAAATGTTTATTGCCAAGTGATGGGATCATGGGTGATATTAAAAAAAGGAAACTTCTTATTCTAGAACAGTTTTACATTTACAGAAAAGTCGGGAAGATGCCACAGGGAGTTCTTATATGCCCAGTTTCTCCTATTATTAACATCTTGTCATTAGTATGGTACATTTGTTACAATTAATGGCCCAACAGTGACACATTATTATTAACTGAAGTCCATACTTTATTGAGATTTCCTTAGATTTTACCTAATATCCTTTTTCTGTTCCAGGATCCCATTTAGGATTTCACATTACATTTAGTCATATCTCCTTAGGCTCCTCTTAGTGGTGATGGTATCTCAGGCTTTCCTTGTTTTCGTAGACCTTGAGCGTATTGAGGAGCACTGGTCAGGTGTCATGCAGAATGTTCCACAATTGGCATTTTTGTGATGCTTGTCTTATGATTAGACTGGGGCTAGGGATTTTTGGGAGGAAGACCACAGAGGTAAAGTGCTATTTTTATCACATCCTATCAAGGGTACATGCTGTGAACATGACTTATCACTGATGATGTTGACTTTGATCACCTGGTGAAGTAGTGTTTGTCAGGTTTTTCCACTGTAAAGTTACTCTTTTTCTTCTGCTTTCTATACTGTACTCTTTGGAAGGAAGTCACTATGCAAAGTCCACACTAAAGAAGTTAGGAGTTCTGCTTTACCTCTTTCCTTCTGATGGAATATATGCATAAATTATTTGGAAATCTTGTGCATGAAAGATTTGTCAATTCTCCTCATTTATTTTTTTATTCAATCATTTATTTATTTATAGCACTTTGAACTCACGGATATTTATTGTATACTTTGGGTTCAAACTGTTCCACCCTTGGCCATTGGGAGTTCTTTCAGTTGGTACTTGTGTTCCCTGGACGTGCTCCATTATTGTGTGTGCATTTATTTTATTTTTAATTCCTTACTTTTTACTTTTTGGCCCTACATGATGGTCTAGAATCATCTTGTATATTTTACTCCTCAGTCTGAGAATCAGTCATTTCTCCAAGGAGCACTTTTTTTTTTTTTTTAAATTGGAGACTGGAATTAGGAACCAAGATCTGCGTGCGAGGGCTGCTTGTTGCTACTGAGGTGTTCTTGCTTCTAGGCCATCTCAGCTGAAAGAACAAGGAAATATATGTGTGCATACTAATTCATGTATATATGCATATCTATAACTAGATCTTTATATAACCATCTGTATGTATACTAAGCTGGTGTGGCCATCTCTATTATCACATGAATAATTCCAGCTTCCTCCCCTTGCTTATCTGCAAACTCCTACTCCAACAGTGAGAAACCTGAATGTGTGGGTAATATTTAAATTGCTTTTTTATAATGAAAACATATTAAATTATCATTAGAAAAAAATGTTGAAGGAAAGGAAGAAAAACATGATTCCTTAATTTTGATACTATAAAAAGCTAATGCCAAGAACAATTAAGGATACATTAGAAAGATAAATTGTATGCAAAAAGGAAGGGAAATGTGAGTAGCATTCCAGATTAATTTATAGAAAATTAATTTTCACTAAAAACACCTGTGAGTATCAAGCACACAATAATTCTTGAAAAACGGATTTAAAATAAATTGCTAAAAGCAGTGTGTTTAGGAGCCAATTACAATGAGAACTTTTTAGTTCACACAGCATTTGTCTTCTCTGATATATCTTGGTCTATATCAGTTTTTTGAGATTTGGAAACAAATCAACATTTGTTAGCTTGTCTTTTTGCAGGATGGAGCACCAGAAGAACCTGGACTTGGAAACAAGAGAGCTGAGTTCTAAGCTGTTTCCACAACTCACTTGCTGGATGTTTTAGGCAAGACGTCTAACTCTCTGATTCTCAGTTTCCTGATTTATCAACTTAGATTTTGTTAATCTAATTATTCATTTCACTCATGTCACTATTCACCCAAACTGTGAAACTCTGCTGCATTAATTAATGCTGTAATACTAG